ATTTGCTGTTATGTTAAAATTATATTAAAGTTTTCCTTCATTACCCATTCAAGCCATCTCCAGCCATTATTAGTCTCAAAGTGGGTTCCTTGTCATTGAAAATGTAGCCCTTGTTTTTTCACACCCACCCAATGAAAATTTAAAAGAAGTAAAACCTAATACATCAAATCATTCCATATGCTTAAAATTTAACTCTTTTTAAGAACATATGGAAATCTGAGGTGTCAGCTATTAAACTGATTATCTATAAGATTCAAGTTTGCACAGTTATCCAAGCCTCTGACAAATGTGAATCAAGTTACCCCTAGTGCTATGCTCTGCTGTTTGAAGATACCAAAATTTCACTCGTTACTCTAAGTTTAGTGTAAAAATCATACATAGTGTTTCTTGTACTTAAATTGAGTTCCATATCAATTCTGTTTGTAGGTGTGATGATCAAAGGTTGAAATATATGTTTCACAATAGAATTGAGTAGTTTTGTAAAAAAAATAATGTTGTAGGCTATATGTTTAGAAATTTTTACTGTTGCTAGAGGGAGTTTTAGTGTGATGTAATGATGATATATAACAGAAGTTTTCTGACTGTCTGGAATGCAGATGAATAATGTAAGATGCACAGTTAGGCTAGAGAGAGAAATAAAACGTAAAAGTGTCAAACATAATCAAGAGTTGACTAATCAGTCAGTTACTCAATGAGTTAGATAGTTATTGATTTAAGACATAATTAATCAATCATATAGTCACTAGATGAGTCAAAGAGAGTTAATTAGTTAGTTGTTGAAACTGTTACCATTTTGTCAATGTATTACTGTGTTAATCAGCTAGTTTGGAGCTTTGCTGTAGATATGAGAGAAAATTTAACAAATTACTTATTTTTATTTATTAGTTCATTTATGAATGAACATAGCATATAGAACTTGCATATTATTATTGCTGAAGAAATAAATAATTTTAGTTATCATAAATGAGCTGAACCTTGCATTATGTTTACCTATTAATCAAAAAGTACCTGCCCAATAATGGAGACTGTTATAAAAATAAGTTGGATTAACTTTACAAAACTTGTAAGAAGGTCAAATGGATGGGAGATAATGTCATCTTTGTTATAACACTTGAGCAGACACACTATGTTTGAATATTTCCTATAAAGACTTCAAGATTCAGAGTTATGGTGAGAGAAGTCTGTGTATAAAGAGACACTTTTGATCAATAGATCAAGATCAAAATTGAATGAAACTAGCTTTGTGATCAATCTTTTACATATTACATCCATAGGCAAGTTGTATTTAATTTTTCGTATATATCAATGCAGTTTATTCTTTATATTATACTTCAGTTTTACATTTGTGCTGTTTCAAATGCTCTTCTTAATGTACTTCTCATTTCCAATAAATGGATAATGCTTTTTTTGCTTATACATGTTATGACACTTCATTACAGATGTAAAAATACTTAAGTTTAGAAACACAGAAGTAAATGTTACATAACCACAATATCTCTTATTTTGTCTTTTACTTTTTCTTAAGATTCGATTGCATCACTGTTGGAAATCCCAAACCGGCTAAGTAACTGCCTTAATGATGGTATGTCATCAGACTACACAGAGCTTCAAACACCGATAGAAGAAAGTGATCCTGGAGATCTGGTGAAGGCATGGGATATGAACTACCATGAGGCCGCTATATATCTTGAGGTAAAAATAGCACAAAACAGATGACAAAAATCTGTTAAATCAATAGCATTAACATCTTGGATAAATCAGTTTGAATATGAACCATACAAAGGGAAAGTAAATAAGTTTCTGAACAAGGCCATTCAAGCTTGTAACTACAGTGTGACTTGTAATATTCATTATTTGCCAAACTTACCTTTCCAAAATAATTGTAGCTTTATATCATTCCTACTGAATCAATACCTTTGCAGAGGAAAGTCTTACTAGTAAAAATTGCGACTATATGAAACTGCAGTAATTTTATATAGAGTATAGTTCAGTTTTATTTATGTAGACCGATAACTTAGACCCATTAGTGAATGAGATATTTTTACATTTAAATATTATATTAGCATAACATGGCTCAAGATATTGTTAACAGCATGGGTACCCAACTGATGAAACAATTCAATTAGCTTTACTCATTGATTGATTTTTAGTTTCACTCTAAGTACATAGCTTGCTGTGATTGGAAATTAATAACATAACATTTGAAGACAACAAGGTGTCCATGGATAGCATCATTCTTAGTAAATTCCTTGACCAATTCATGAAGAAAACTGTCCCTCACAGTTTCACTCTAAAATCTCCCAATCTATATGCCTAAAATTAAATTCCCCATAACTATAGCCTCATTAACAGCTGTGATCTTAACCTTACTGTAAAGTTTCTCATTAATTTCACCAGTCTCATCTGGCAGTCTATAACAAATTCTAACTATCTAACTAAAAGTATTCTCCCCTTATCAGTAACAGAGATCCAAACAGCTGTGTTTCATTATCGACAACAAAGTAATAAAAACATCATCTGGATAATGTTTTACCCAACTTCTTGGATCGAGTAATCCTTTGTACAGACTTTTGATGTATTTTGATCTTCTGTCTTTGTGAATTTGAGTAGTGTTATTACATGTAGAAAGAGTTTGTAATAAACTTTACTGTTCTTGATTTGGGTACCCACCAGAGTTTTTCTCCAGTTTACACTTGAAGAACTGAGCATTGAGGCAGAAACATTAGTTATCAAAGAACTGAATAAAGAGGCAGAGAAAATTCATAATAACTTCTGATGTATTTATTGTTATTTCTGTTGTAAAATAGAGGATTTTGGATAACAAATTGAAATGATGTTATGTTAAATATTTTTCAAAAACTGAGTTAAATATTCTCAAAAAAAATCTAACTTTACAAACATCAGTATCAGAAATTTTGATTAAGAAAAAACTTATTCCTTTTTATAGATCTTTATAACAACACATTAATAAAGCCTATGTACAACTGTGTGGTGCACTATGCTTTCAGTTTTTCCATCCTTCGTCAGTAAGTTCTATGGGTGTTTTGCAGAATAAGAAGAAAGTTTTGCAACCATAAATTATGTAATGAAAGTAGTAGGAACTGTTGAGTTATTTGCAACAGAATTAAAACTATAATTTTTATAGAAACTATAAATCACAATACAGATTAAATCAATATATCCAAAGTCATGGTTTCTTTAGCTCATCACCTTCATCCATTGTATATGTAAATTGTGTTTGGTTTATTTTTTATTATCTTCAATGTATTTCTTTTATTAATGAAAACAATTTGTTATAGATACATATATAAAATTAAGCAAACTAAAGTTAGAATTTTCATTTCATATTTGAAATACAGTTTCATTTTCAAACTTAATATACTTGTATCCATCATTATCTTACATGTTTAGACTTTTTTGGCAAAATAATATAAGAAATTAAATAATACATAAACTAAAGAGAATGTTGCAGAATAATCACTTTAAGTAAAACAAGTATTTTATTTAAAATACAAGTACATATTGTAATTGATTTTTTAAAACCTAGTTCTCGTATTTGGTCCTAGATTTTCTAGCAAACTCAAAATTTGGGTCATTACTCCTCAACAATACAGATTATAGATATCAAAATTACCAAACTTCAGATTATTATTTCACAGTAGTACCAGCTGTTGATGAAAGCTGATGAATTGTTTATTCTTATAAGATATTGATTTTGCTGATATTTCTTATGACTTTGATTATCATTCTCTGTTAATTTATTTTGTCCAGGAAGGAGAAAACAATGATAAATTTGATTACCACCCTCGAAGTAAAGATGCTCTACCTGCATATTTGTTAGTACACAACATCTGGTTTTATAGCTTGGATCTAATAGCTGCTGTGATGCTGATGGGACTTGCTTTAGTGGAGAAACCAGCTGTTCCAGGCTTTCATCTAGACCCTGGGGTAAAGTTTGCCTTAGTTTGTAATCAGTTCAGAGGAAAATTTATTTCATAACTTAAATCAAAATGAATACATTTTAAAACTATTTTAAATAGTCACTTCATAATAATTCTAGTATCATTGTGATGAGTGTTATCAGTTCCTTCTTTTTCTCTCTCTTTCATCTTTCTGTTCAACTTTGAGTCAGCTATTGTTATTAATGTCAATTTTTAACCAGTGGTTTAAATTAAGGATGTGTCCCTCTCACCCCCTCCAGCTAAGAAAATCACTAGGGAGAGACTCACTAGCTATATAAAACAAGGGAAGCTGAAACAATATTATAGGATAATATAAAAGAGGATGAGCATTATTTGCTTCCCTTTGGACACCTCACAACATTATAAAAAACACAAATTACATCATCAGTAATTAAGAGAAATGGGAAATTAAACAGCTAATAAACTCAGCAACCAACTCTTAAATATGCCATCAAAACTAAAACACAGGACACAAAATCCATCTATCCAATTTTTATTTTACCATTTTAAGTTATGTTTAATAAATAAGCTTAGTATTCTGAAAATTGTTTAATCTTGAAGTCTAAATTCAAGGGAGGTCCAGTTCGATCTACACTTTGATCAACATGCGTTATTTGGTTATACTAGTTTTGGAGAATCCCACTCCTCATCAGTAACCCTGAACACAAGTTAACCAAACAGATATAAGCTGGACCTATATCATTGTGAAAAGTATCACACATATTGTTGGTGTGAATGTGGTTTATATTCACAATGAAAAAACCTATACACTGGATAAGTGAAGTGAAGAAAATGTTTCATTGGCCACTATGTTTAATTTGACACTGAACTTTTAATAAAAGAAACTTTTTTAAACAAAAAAAATGCTCTTCCTACACCTAACTATTCATAGCCCTATTTTAAATAAAATCTGTTCTAATTTGCTTGTAATTCTTATGCTCACATTCTTTTGCTTTTTTTTTAATCTGATAGTTTTCAAAACATTTCCTGTTCCCTTTAAATTACTAATAGTGGAATCTGTGCTATCCCAAATTGTCTGTTAAATGTTTTATTGTTACTGTTGTCCTTCATTTTTTATCAAGCTGTGGTTTCTGACAGTAGAATCAATGACCACACTCCAAGTTTCAATTTCTTTGTTTCAGTGGCAATGTTTAAGTTGAGATTGATTCCTGAACGAAAATATTTTATCTAACTTTTGACTTTGATATATATATATATATATATCAGTGAAATGTTTTCATTGGAAAAAGTCTGGCATCAGTTATTAGAAAACTGTCAATATATAGAATATTTTATATTTTTACACAGTTTTCAGTAGGTAGAAGTGAAATATAAATCTACATTATTTGAACTCTATTTTGAATGGCTTACATGGAATCTAGTAGAGTTGGAAAGAAGTTTTTTACTTCAACTACCAAGGTGTTTATTCAGTATCAAATTTCAAGAATGTTTTTACCATTTTAGGTCTAGTACTGAATACATGCAAGGATTCAATAGGTTTCTGCATATAAGCTTTAGCATAACAAGGTACAACAAATCTTCAATTAGTCAAGGCCACTGTCATAGCTTGTAATATTACTATTTACATGTCATGAGAACAGGCTACAGTGAACCTTGAATCAAGATCACAATCATAGCTTGTGATGTTAGTGCCAACTGTTTACAACACATCACTAGAAGAGGTTACAATGAACCTTGAGTCAAGGTCACTGTCATAGCTTATGATGTTACTGGCATCTATCTGTTTACATATCATGAGAACAAAGTACAGTGAACCTCCAGTAAAGGTTGTAATTATATTTATTTACACATATTACCTGAACAAGGTCCAGTGTTCCATAGTCGAGGTGGCAAGCATAGTTTGTGCTCTTACTGGTGACTGTTTACTTTTACCTAATATCAGTAAATCTTTCAAAGTATTTTAGAGTGTAATCTTGGCTTTTGATATCACTGGTAATTGTTCACATATACACATCACCAGTACAGCTTAGTATGTACATTTTATCAAGGTCATAAATATGGCTTGGGTCATTACTACTAATTGTGCAATAATTTTACTTGCTTTAACTTAAACAACATATTTTAATCTCTTAAATCTTTCAGCTTGGGCTCGGTCCCTGGGACCAATCTCATAACCATTTTGTGCTTGTTATAGTTTTCATGCTATAACTTTTAAATTAGTAAGCATATGTTAACGAAATTTGGCAGATTATCAGTAAACAAGATCAATGCTTTCATATACAAAATATCAATTTTTGTTTTTGAATTATTGTCTTAAGGTTTGTAAAGCAATGTTTTCCTCATGCCTTTTTTGTCTTTTTGCATGTTGCCTATTTAACATGCAAAGTAATTTTCATTTTAAAATTAAAAATACTTTTATGCATCAGAAAATTTTCAAATTTCACATGCAAAATCTATGTAATGTCCAGATAGCTATCAAATTTTTCTTAAGAAAAACTTTATATTTTATCTGTTATTTTCAGTAATTAATCTCTGTACGGGTTCAGTAGATATGACCGATCTCGTAACCACCATAAAAAAATTAGGAAATAAATATAAATTATGCCTCTTTCATTTTAGAATAACTACAAATTGTTGCGTCATTGAGATCACGTGACTATTCTCACAC